GCGCACAGACCCTGCACATCAAAAGCCAGTGGTCTGAGAAAGCAAATACACAACATACAGGTAGAAAGTAAGGGACAAGGGAACAAAAAGAAAATGAGCCAAAGGAATACTAAACACATTTGACTTTGAATTGTTTGCTGGTTAGGAGTCTTGAAATAGGTATTTCTCCCTTCTCTTTCACCCACGCAAAATTAAAACTTAAATTCCACTAGCAAAACATTACACTTATTTCTATCAATACTGTTCAATCAAGAACTGTTCAAAATTTGGTAAGTTCATAGATTCCACAGTGATGGACAGCCTTATAAATATCTAGCATCGCCCTCATCCAATATAATGACTCATCTCACTCTTCACAGCCTTCAGCACAGGAAGGAAAGGTTCCCATAAGCAGGGTGTCACCTGTGAGGACTAGTAAGGAGACCTAACTTTATTTTCACGATCTAATCATATGACAGGAATCAGAGCTTATAAAATAGGCCTAATTCCTTGCCATATGATATAAGTCCAGGGACTCCTTTAAACATCGTTCTCTACTTTCTACCTAACCTCTTGTAGTCTTGTTCTTTGAAGCCTACCAGGATTGTCCAAACATAACCAAGGACAGGGTTTTAAATCAATGAGATTTTACAGATACAAAAAAGAATAAATCCAACTATGGAATTATTACACGTGGAAAAGAAACTTGTTTGACTCTTGGATCTAGCTTTTGCAGGTATTAAATCATTTAAGCCCAAGTAGGTAAGTACGTACTATGAACTAAGGAAAGAGGATACAGCTATGTATGTTAATCCAACCTTGTACTTCCAAGAGGAGAGATGCATTTTAAAATTCTACCTGCTGGAGGACAAGATGAGTTGTCATCTAGACAGACCGAAAAGCAACTCTTTTTTTTTTTTGTAAACTAAGCAACTTAAATAAGAAAAATAAAGGTGGGCTCCTAAAATGTAATTTTTATCACACTGCCTCTCAGTGTATTATGCTTGACAATTTTCAGCAAGTGAAATAAAAAAAATTCCTGATATGTACTATAACTATACGGCAGCCACCTCTTCCATTCATTCTCCATCTTCCCTCCACCTTAACCATGAAAAAAACTCACTATGTTACATTTACTGGGGCGTTGAGGCTCTGACCTCATGATTCTTGACTCTGTTAATTGTTTTCAAACAGATGCAGCACAGTTCTTGGAGAGGTAATGGGGCTGTGCTAAGCGTAGTTTTAAAAGCAGTACCTAATATTAGTATTTTTAGAAAGATATGTACAATTCCCTACTACAATAGACTAAGCTGAAATTTGTTAAACCATCAAAAATGTTTGGAAATGCTTTAATTTTTATAGCAAAAAAGCATATTTAGGTATGCTTTTTACAGGGGTAAAATACCCACAACAAAAAATTGTTGTAGTGGACAACAACCGAGAAACTCGTTTTAGAGTGCTACTATATCTCTGCTATGTTGCATAGATGACATTTCCAGCATGGTATCAGCATGACAGAGGATACGCCATCTGGCTTAAAAGTGCGAACAGCATGGAATCCACTACCACATATCATAAGAAAAGTTGGAATGGAGAAACACAGAATATACTACAGCAATAGAAATAACAGTTTGACCAGATGCTGAGAGAACATTAAATGTCCTCAGATGTTAAGATTTTCAGCCGTATCATTCTTCTCTAACCTCACATCCCTCCATTCTTCCTTCTTCCTCTAAAAACTACATGCATCTTTCTGAATATTTCTGAATTACAGATATCTGGATTTTTTATTTCAATCCTACCTCAAACACTGAAAGAAGCACTAAGTTCACTGTTGCAACATTTAATGAGTTATTCTATTTTTATCTTTATCTTTTTGATTTTAAATTGTTTTGACTAAACTCATTTTCCAATAATGCCCATTTTCTCCCTTACTTTCTTATATTGTATATAGAAAAGTTGCCATTACTACTTGTTGTATCCTGCTTATAAGACAGTATAATTTCATTAAACTTATATAATCCATTCACCAAACATGTATAATACAGTTTATTCAGAATAGATTGTGACTTTATTAGGTTATATCTTTTATGTTTTTCTTTGCTAAAGCTTAATCTTATTAGGATTATACACTGCACAGAAGGATATGTCATTATTCTGGCTTAAAGGCTAATTTTACACATTTCAGCATGATTGGTACTGTCTCTTCAGCAGTAGCCCAGCAGTGGCCCTGCGGTCAACAAGGCAGGCAGGAATGGCAGCTCTCTAGACAATGTTTGGGATAGCTAGCTAAGAAGCTAAGACTTGTTCTGCAGCTGTCTGTGCTAAACTGAGCTTTAGGATAGGGTTTCTGATGTCTGGAAAGTCCCTAGAACTTTATAAGTGCATTACCCCCAAAAGAAATTAAATTTGATTAAAATGGAACTTTCTCCAAGCAATGTCTTTCTCAATACTTTAGAAATTTCTGCACGGCACCAATTTTTTTAATGTTTAAAAATACTGTTTGAAAACCACTAGGGGGAAGTAACTTTGACACATCGAATCTGACAACAAAATACGTAGAAGTTTTTAAGTGTGATTGCTTTTGCTTTTTATTTCTTCCCTTTTTTAACCAATAAGGTAACAGTTGACTTCTAAATTTTTGAATTTATAAATAGCAATGATTGATATATCTCAGCAATATGGTGACAGACCTGGAAATGCAAATGAAAAAGGCATTAAAATCTTCTGAGACATCACCCTCAATGCTGCCCTGCCATGTCTATAGGAAATAAAATATTTTAATTCCTTTGTTTCAAAGCACTGTAAAAACAATAATGAATGAATCCTCATACAAGTTCAGCAAGGCAGGCTATTAATGACATTGTCTCAGTCAGGCAATTGTCCTTCTCCCCAGGGAAGGCAAAGGAAGGAAACATTGAGAGCTTTATGCCACCTCTTCATCCATCCAACCTACCAAGAGCACACAAGTTAAGCCAGTCTCAAACCCATGCTGTGAAAAATAGCATTTATCACAACATAACACTTGTACTGTACTCAAAAGCAAGACTATTCTTTACAAAACACTTCAAGCAAACCACTGTATGTTATAAAGAGTTGTAGGTAATTCAAGAAAAAAATGTGTTCCTTATCTTATACGTCAAACAAAAACACAGACCCCCCCCATCCCCACCGACATAAACTAACTATTTTAATTAAATAATATGGAGCGGTTAATCTTTAAATTTCACTAGGTGTGTGCCATTTCAATCCCAGGTAATAATGCTTCCCTGCTTACATTGCCTTTCTCATGAATAAGTCTCAAAGGAAATGAAGGATTAGTTTCCTTATTTTCCATTGGTGAAAGTGAAGCACAGAGAAGTGAGATGGTCATCGTCTTGCAGTAAGTCAGCAGGGGATCCAGGAAATGAACTCCAGCGCTCTGACCTCTAGGTAGCTCTCTAGTCATTAGATCATGCTGTTTGCCATGCGTATGTGCTCTTACAGTGATAGCTATTTCAACTGCATACTAGGGAAACACCCCTAGCTTTCTTAGACAAATAACACAGACCCTTTCTTTCTCTCCAAATGCAGCCACACTACTGTTAGTATAAATATAAACCGCTTATGCAGCTCATATTGTTTTTATCTTTCAAAGACCTTTTTTGCCTTACTGTATTTTTCAAAGTTTTCTAAGGGATAGATACTTTAATTCTGACTAGTTCATCTGCCTGTGCCAACCAATTTGCATTAACAAGTTCTGAAGCTTTACAGCTTTTAGAGTTTGTCCATTATATCCTTCCCACCTTGACTGCTCATAACCTTAGTTCATAGCAGCAAATACTGATTTTGAGCAACGCTACCACTGAGGAAATCTTTTAAATTTTTACTTCACTTGTAAGTATTTTTATTTTTCAGACTACTCCTTTTCCAAAAGTCCCCCAGTTATTTAAAATAACTTGTGTCAGACTTTATGCTTAGAGAGCAAGCAAAGACAGAAAATGTATCTCTGGGGGGAGACAGCAGGGAATCAGGGCAGGGAGAGCTATAGGGAGTCATGGTAGCCCAGCAAGTGCATCAGCAGAGATCCTGGGGTGGAGAGCTCCCAAGCTGCCTCAGAAATATGATGATATTCAGCATCATTTCTGCTTTTACGGGAACTAACACGTCTTTCTCTCAGCATAACAGTGACAGGAATGACACTCAGTTTGATTCTTAGTTCTTCCAGCTCCACTTTGGATCCGAAGAGAAGAGAGCACAAGCAACATTTTCCAGGCCGGAGTGCAGCCTGCTCTGTATGAGTAAGTTTGAGGAGCTGCAAGATCAGTGCGCTGCACATTTTGCTTCTGGCATCCCTACGGGGCAGGACCCAGAATGGGGGAAGCATGACCTCCCCATCTGCCATCTCGAGACTCTCTCTTTAGAGAGAGGGCCCTGAAAAGGAATAGCATAGAGTCCTATCGTGCCTTACACATTCACAAAGGTGGACACCTCTCTCATTCTTTTTTACTCTAACATTTAACCAACTGTTTCTTGAGTATCCAACATAATCTTTCAAAGACACTGCTGTTCACTCTCTTTCTATGTTGTTCATTACCTCTCATTGAACACTTTCAAAACGAAGAAAAGAGAACTGGAGGGAGGTTCCCCCTACACATTACGGAAAGCTGCTTTGTGCCAAGTAACTAGCATCACACTAGTTACAAACCCAACAGATTTAAATGCTGTCCACCATGCCATTGCAGGCTTACTGACAAACAGCAGATAGGTTTTTCTTTGTCAGTAAAGGCCGCTATTCTGACAATTAGCCATCTCCTCCTGAGAGACAGGAGATTCAAACAACATCTCTTGAAACACTTAAGAAAGTAGCAGATGAGCCCAGAGAAGAGACTCATCTTTGTGGAGGCTGGATACCTGTGGCTCAGGAGACCAGTGCTACTGACAGCAGGTGTGGTGTTTTGGGTTCTCCACAGCAGGAAAAGCACAAAGTACCAGCATGTAGATGTGGCAGCACAACACAGAAAAAAGGCATCCATTCCTACCAAGAGACATGGCCGACCGGTCCTGGAGCAGATCACATCAGGAAATGGACAGGTATCAGCAATGCTCAGCTGAACCTCTTAGTGGCTACTGATAATCACTGCGTGCACCAGAGAGGTGTGGTGCACTATAAATTAATGCTGAAGTTATAATTGTAATGCAGCTGGGTATACAGGCTGTGCCGATAAACACGCTCAGCATGCTGAGTCATCACTAGGAACTCCCTGGGCAGTCCCGGGAACTCCCCAGCTAGTTTCTGTCCAGATGAGATAATTGACTGATAGTGAAAGAAGCCTGCCCCAGGCGGCCCCAGCTCCACCAGGGAAGGGAGTGATCAACAGAAGAACTCCCCACGCAGTCCCGGCTTTGCGTTCACAAGATAATCGACTGCGTGACAGGACCAGGAGAGGTAGGGAACTCCAGGCAGTCCTAGGAACAACCCAGGCACTTCCTGCTTTGCATATATGAACCAATTGCTGAACTGACAGACAGACTGACAGACCGCTTGTCTATTCAGATGCGTTTATGATTAGATAAGACAATTTTTGTACATAGTTAAGACTGTTTTAACTAGTCAATGGAAACTGATCATGCTCGCACTGGACTGGTGACATGGGACTACAAGCCAGCTGGGTTATAAGACTGCACCAAGCAACGGCCCAGGGAGTCAGATCCGATCCAGCTGAAAATGCTGTTACAAGGATGCTTGCAACGGAGACTCCTGTCACCACCCGGATGGCAACTGACCACCCTGTTTGAGTGATTGCCCTCATGCAGAAGATCCACATAAATCAGTTTCTTCCACTAACACTTGCACCAGTGTTTATCTAACACGGGCCAGAATGGTCTCTACGAGAATGAGAGCTTACCACCGGGTATGCTGTCCATGCTGAAACTGCACTCAGATGCAAAACATTGTGCCAGAGAGTAAGGCCGTATATCTAAGTATATGTATCTGACGCCACTACCAGATTTCATATACAGTACCTACAGCGCTGACTTGCAGAATACATACTCTTTCCAAAAAATGAACAAATACGTACATTCCAACATTCTGGCCCCCTCCCCACAACACAAAAATTTTGGTGACGCAGATAATGTCCATAAATGTTGGTGGTTTATGAACATTGTCTATTTATTTATAATCTGTCTGTAAACTATTACAGCACTAGCCATCAACAGCGCTGGAGCAGTATAAGGCCTTCCCAGGTCCAGACCACCTATAAATATGCAAAATGAAACTTCACATGAGAGTCCCTGAATTCAGATCTACTGACCCGTCCTTTTGGGATTCCTGTCCTGACACATTCAGTCCTAACTGACAACTGTTGCCCATGCACTGCACAGCGAACTCGTGCTCTTTTATAATATTTGTGGTTCTTTGCAGGAAGGATAACTGGTGCCACATGCACGGCAGGTTGCTGTTATCTATCCTGTACTCAGCTGCAATTTCAGAGACATCCCAAGCAAGCAGCCCATCACTACCGTGAGAAGCCACCACGGAATGTGGAAAGTCATCAAATCGTGTTTTTTTTCAAGAGATTTCAGAAATAAATGTTTTCCACTAAGGATATCCAAATGTCTATTTCTGATGGGAACGAGCCAGGATTACTTACAAATTCTCCTCTCCTGCAGCAAAACCAAGGCCTTCTATAACCCATCCTCTGATTTCACTAAGACTCAAGGTTACTGCTAAGGTTGGATGTGACTAGGTCACATTCAACCTCCATCTTTTGACGAACCAGGAATTCTGGCAGATAGCCTAGTTATAAATTTCACACAGCACAATCTGACCAGGGGCCCAAACCCCTCAGCCCTCCTGTCACAAGAGCTGGGCCAAGTACACCATGCGGACAAGAGCTGGGCCAAGTACACCATGCAGACCTGAAACCAGTTCAGCCTGAGAACCACCAAATAGGGCTGTTCCTCATGCATTCAGCAAACCTTGGCAGGGATTAGGCCTATGTCCACAGGAGGAGGTTAGGTGTGACACTGCACAGGATTTTTAGACACCCAGCTCCCAAAGGGGAATTCACAAGCTTGAGTTCTGCACACAAAACTCAATTTACAAGAAAGAGACCATAAAGTGGGGAGACACCTAAGCAAAAATAACTGAAAACACTACGGAAAGAAATACACACAGAATCCCATCTCTCTCCTGCAAGATGTGTACATGTAAAACAAAAGTAACTTAAGTCACTTACTTGTGTGAGACTGTATTTACAGCTTCAAGCCCCAAAATGGGTTAGACATTTAAAAAAGGAGTGAAGGGGACTGTTTACTGTAACATTTAGAGGACAGAAAACGGGAATTATTGGTATAAACGATATCACAGGGAATAGAGTACTTGCTCAGGGACCCTTATTCCATACCCATCTCAACACAAAAGGAGTTCCTGCCTTCAGGAAGAGATATATTACTGACCATGCCAAAGGCCAGGATCCTTCCTGTTGAGTTGTGCCAGTGTAAAGAGAACACACAGATGTGTCTGAAGGCTTGTGTGGAGGTTCTAGGTCTTTTCCTAGATTTCACATGGAAAATCTATCTGCTGAAACACTTTAATTTCATCCAGAGCAAGAAACAGGAATCAGAAATCAGGACTTCTTTGTTACGTCCCACACAACATGCACACTGGACAGAGACATGCTTCTACTATAGTTTTGTAGGAGCAGTCTGCCTACCATTTTACTCTACTCTACCATTTTACTACATTTTGCCTGAGGGCAAACTTCTTGGTCAGAAGAGCAATACATTTACAAGCCTCACTGTAGAGCTCCAATATATGCCCTTCTTAAGGCATTAGTGAAACCTCAAGCAAAACACATACCAAAGGTGGTTTTCAATTTCCACTTAGACTCAATCTATTTACCTTCTTCTTCTCATTTTACTGAAGGAAAGAGGTATGTGTGAGTTCTAGCCATATCCAAAGCTCTGTGTTATTATGCTTTCCAGATCAGATCCTTTGACTTCTTTGTTTCTATTTATAAACAGTTAGGTATTACAAGAGCCAGACTATTTAACCGCAGAGACTGTCAAAATAGATAATGTATTGTGTCTCACTGAATTACCAACTGGCTGGATGCCTAGCCTTTTGACTTCTAAGGTCCATTCCAACGTAGCTCAAGCAAACTCTTCTATCTACTTCAAAAATGTTTCGATAACAGACAATGGTGAAACAACTATATGGATGACACAAAGTATACTTGTTAATCATTCTGTTGGTTAACTGCGCTTAGTTACTAGATCTAATCCCAAGTTAGGAAGAGTCATGCTTCATTGAATGATGTAGCTGATTGACAGACTTCATTTTAAGAAGATGCCACTTAGCAGGGATCTCCAGAAGTACCATACTGATGTGTGCTCAGAGAAGTAAAGGTGATTACTTACTCTTTTGGAAACAATTCTTTGAAAACTGTTTTCCTTATGTACATTGGGAGTGCAGGTATATCCACAATGGGATCAAAATTAACATTACATTTCAAAGAACTGAATATTTACTGCAGTAATAGTTTACAACACAGTAACTGTTTTTATGAGGCCCCTGAAATTTTACTTGGCTCCGTGAAGGCATTACTTAAAACTGCTTCCAAGAATCTAAGTTAGAAAACTAATTGTATTGAAGTGGGTTAATATTGGTTAATAAACCCATAAAAAACCTGTAATAAAACCTGCAACAAATGTGGTAAGTCTGATTTAGGTAGAAAAACACCCTCTTTTGAGATGAGAACACTGAAAAGACACGTTCGCTGCAAGGTAAAATATCGCAGCTTACCACTGTATGAAATTGTACGAGCTAACCTTTTGGAGGAAAATATAAATTAAATACCGCTTTGATCTATAGAATGCTTGACATTCAAGCATCACCATGCACAGGTGCACTGAATAAAGTGAAAGTACCTTTATTCCGAGGAAGAGTTTTCTTCATGAGAGAGGCAGCTTTTATCCAACTGTGGATGTAGCTGTTGTTGCTGAATATTAAACCAAAACATATACTTCCTTTAAAAGCAAAATATGATGCAGTATCATAATACAGCAGAGTTATCACTGATATAAAATTATAAATGTCAGGAACTTTGTATCTATAGTTAAAACATTTGTAATCTTCATGCAAAGGTAAGGTCAACACATCAGTAGATCATTAACTTGAAAATAAGTGCAATAAATCAGCAGCTGAAATGAAGGTCCCATATTTTAATGGTATGTTTAGCAATTGTGTGTATGCTAAAAGAAAAATCATCATGCCATTATTTCCATATTGTAAGTATCTTCAGCTTAGAAAAATTAAACAATCTATATAACAAAATATTACTACAGCACTATAAATTTCTATTTCCTGACAATTTTCCCACTTTTTATTTTTTTTTGCAATTTATATTTCCCAAGTTTTCAGACTGAGGATGGAGAGAGCACCAGAGGGATTTTTCCCTAAATAGTTACTCAAGAAATGAGAACAGGAATCTGAAAGGATCTCCCATACCTCATGCTAGGGCTGCCTTCCTTTTAAAGCACCTACACAATTTTCATTTATTTTGCTTCTAGATGGAATGATAGCCAGCTTCAGATTGGACTTTCTCTTTGGTAATACTAGATGTCTTCCACCTCATCTTTTAGAGAAACTGGAAACTGAGAAGAGATCAAAGAGATGATCTACTTGTTTCTCTTCCATCTCTTATGGGGTTCACAGTGTTATCTGGAACTGTCATACACAAGCATATTTAATGGTATCATTGTACGTATTTGACAGTACAAACTGATTATACTCTGTAGAATTTAAATCAACCTTTAGATACCTCTCAAAAAACCAGAAAATCATAAAGCAGAGACCAAATGACTGTTGACTATGTTTAATAAAATCTGGCTCAGCCTCCAAACAATACAGCGTGTGTTTCTCAAAATTTCTTCCTATTAGCTGTCTTGCTTAAAGCTCTAAAAGAAGAGATGTGCCTTATAGGGCAACATATTTACCCAGCTCAAAGAAAGGAGTAAGTTTCAAAACTCAGATATTCCTATCGATGGCCATTTTACATCAAGGCAAGAATGGTGCATCTATTAACTTAATGGTCGCACCAAAGCACAGGAAGATCAATAATCAGCCAAGCAGGCAAACCCACAGCCGTTTACAGCTTTATAAGTCAAAATAAGCACTTTAAAATCATCCCAAAAATATCCAGAAAAAGCTACTGTAGTTGGACAACACAACAAAAACAAAGAGTAATTTCTTTGTAGCAGAATATACTTAGCAAGCAGACCTCTACATTCTGCAGTATTCTGGTCTCTGGATGAAGCCCATAATAAAGAAAGCTGCAGTGAATAAGGCATGAAACACTGTTGCTAGGTCAGCATTGCAAAAAGGTTAGGCTAAATGCAACCTTATAGTCAACCACAGATAGAAAAAAGGACTTGTTAGTATTTGGGAATGCAACCAGACTTTCAAAGGCCAAAACCAAGAAATAGAATGGCAAACACTTCCCCTTAAAGAAACAGATAAAGGTCTTTTTTGTGCATACTGCTTAATTTTTATTATACTAGAAAATGGTGAATAAAATAGTGCTTTTATTTTATTTCTACTAGCTAATTATCATGACTGGTGACAAGCTGAATATGAATGGAAACTGGAATAAGCTAAAATTGCTCCAAGAAGAATTTTGAATTATTTTAACTAAATAAATAAACCTACTTTAAATGTGTTGCACATGTAAAGAAAAAAGCTTATAACACATTATGTATTTAAATCTGACATACAGAAGAAATGAAATGTTTTCTGTAGTGAGTAGAGCAGATTTAATGTTTTTTCACCATATCCTATAAGATTTTAGAACTAGTAGAGATTATCCTCCCACACCTTATTGTTATTCACAAATGAGAAGGAGGAAAACCAGCTTTTCTACCTTTTAACTCCTAGCTGGTTTCTCAGTGAACTGATTTATCTTCATTCTGTGTGAACAAAATAGTTATTGAACTAAATTACTGAATAACAGGAAGAAATACTTTCTCTGCCATCTGCACAGAAGACTACTGTAGTCAGAAAACAATTAATACTGAAGCAAATGCTAGCTCTGGTCTTAACCTTGTCCTTTAGCAGCTCAGTGGTGTGACTTCTCTTAAAAAATTGAGTAACGCATACTCTTTGTACATGATTATTTTCACTTGAGTCATTTTAAAACCTTGAAGTAAGTTAGGCTTTAAGAAAGGCTACTATAAAGAAAAAAATTCAATAAAATCATACATACATAAATATCTGATTTACTAAACAGACTTTATAAAAAGTGTCAGTTCTAGATGTTTTGTGAGTTGCTGAGCAAGTAGGGACAGAACCCTTAGATGCCATATGATGAAGTCCTCAAAGAGACAGAGCTCCCCAGCAGTATCTCTGAGAAACAGCGTAATCCATTTTATACCAGTACCATCCCTCTGAACATTAACAGCACAACATCATCATTAAATAGCTAACTGTAAGCACAAGCATTTTAAGTTCACTTGTGTGAAGGGTACCTCTATCCAGCAGAACGCAGATGCACAGTACACGGGACTACCCAGGCAGACAACAGTGATAAGATTTCAGTACACAAGCAGCAACTAAGGGGACAATTACCTGCGAGATTAATCTGGATTCACTTCGTAAGTCAATGCCACTGTGTGTGCTAGTCATCTTGACTGGTAGGGTACAAACGTACTCTGCAAAGAAAACATCTCTGACTGAGCTTATGTACTAGCTTGCATCCAGTTCTAGCATATCACTGAATTTACCAGTTACAATCTACCACTACAGGCCAAAGACCAGCAATGTGCAAGAGTGAAACATGGCTATACAAGGGGAACAACTAGCAACCCACTGAATTTGAATGCTGAGAAGCTCTAAACAAGTTCCCCTCTTGAAATACCTTTAAGTGTTAAGCCTGAGACTCAACTTACAGTCTCAGTTTGGGAGCCAAATATAAAGACCACATATACTGTACTATATGGTGCTCAATATACTACAGCAAAACAGCATAAAGAATCTACTGCAGCTGCATGTAAAGTTATATGTATTTTTATATTTCACCTATTGAAAGCTGTACAAGTTTTATACTATTTATTCAGTAAACAAACTAAATAATTTTTTAAAATATCTTTCCTGCATTTCTAAGAAACCAGTATTTGTTTTACTTTAAAAATACATATGTGGCATTCTTAGCAAGTGAAACCACTTAAGAGATGGTCATTAAAAGCCATCTCACTGGAGGGGCTGAGAGGGGGCTTTTGACTGTTATTTTGGTTAGTCCTGCAAGTAATATATATGGTCTCTTACTACACCAGGAACAAATATAAAATTAAGATATGTCTCTGCCACACTAAGCTTAAATATTTTCAGAGCTAAAACAAAGCAGTCTCTGATGCTGAAAAAGGCTTAAGGCAAAACAAACTCTAATGAAGTTTGTGGAACCCATTACCCAACTTTTCTACCATATTTTTTAATACTGTAGAGAAAGTATGAGGTGAAGGTACATGGAGAAAAGCTGGGAGAAAAAAAACTAAAGGAATTATAACTACAGGAGAAGAAAATTTGCCCTATAAATAAAGAGTGCCCTAAAACATACTTAGAGATAGTGAGCAAAAGCACTTTGAAAAAAGGAGTAGCAGTAACAGGTAACCATATAGTATAAGTCAGAGCAGCCAAGGGCTATTCCAAACTAATGCCTACTTGCGCTAGCTCCTAAAAGGCTACTTCATAATCACAGCTGAAGGAAACAAACCAGCTACAGACCTACTCCCTCCCCAGGATCACACTCCTCATACCAGTATCAAAAAAGAGATAATATTAAGCTAGTTACACCATGTCTATATTTCTAGGAGTCTCTCTACACCTACTTTAACATTTAATCACATTTATGTCGCATATAATATTACAGTACCAAAGCAGTGTGGAAAGCAGCCTTGGGATCTCGCATGATGCCCCTCAGCAGTATATGGCGTGTCCCATTTGCACTAACGAAACAATTTAGTGCAGGTTAAATAAAAACACAACTTGTTTTGGTGCTGCTCCTGTGAACAGAAACAACTAGCTGTTTGGGGATGGTGAAGAAATCCTGGCAATGGGATTAATACCTTGAGGATAATCTTGCTAGATTGTACCCTACGATTTCAATTTCCTAAGAATGGGCAAGGATAAACTTTTTTTAGAGATCTCCCTATCTCTATTTCCTTATTTCTTTCTATCCTGGTGCATAAGCATGCTTGCTATGGAAGCTGAGACTCAAAACTGTATTACATATTTGCTCACACGAACATAAAATGCCCTGGAAGAGCTACTTCGGGCTAGATGTAACATGAAGAAATACTGGAAAACCTGTATATGTAGTCCATGTTGATAAGAGAATTCAAGAATATACTATATCAGGATACACAAGGGGTTATAAGTAAGTGTGCTATGTTAGTTCAGATCCAGCAAACAGGATTATCAACAGTGAGACTGTCACAGACAATGTGATGAGGAAGTTCAAAACCACAATAGAAGAAGAGAGATGAATGTATTAGGAAAGACTATTAACACATGGAAGAGTGGAAGTTTCCAAGACTCAGTTGGACAAAGTCCTAAGCAACCTGGTTCAGTGTTGAGCCTGACTGGAGCAAGGGGTGGGATTAGATGGGGGTCCCCCGGGGCCCCCCTCAGCCTGAATGATCCTGTGACTAACTCCTGTCTGGGTTTTCATGTAGGGGAGAGTGTTTAGTCTTCTCAAGGCCTGTGAAATCTCTTCCTCGTTAGCAAAACACAGATCTCTCTAGAGTAACTCCATCTGGTCATGGCATCTTAAGCAATTCTGAAGTATTTTCACAATTCAGTGATTTTTCCTCCACTCATTACAGGTTTAAACTTCACATAAGGATTCTGGTGCATGGACACTGCAGTAATAAAGTACTGTCTTGCTGATGTGTCTCCCTGCTGGTGAGGCTTTAAACATGTTACCCAATTTCTGGGTAAAGGAGGTAGGGGACTCAGATGATCTGGAGATTTGGGCTTAAACTTGTATCGTAGATAATCACTAACCACTATATACTAAGTATATCTGATTGCCATTTTCTACGTTCATTCAGGAACAGTAATAAAGAAATATATCCAAGCTGTCTCTTCCGTCTAAAACTGTAGATCATTTTGTGACTGCAATGACAGCAAAAATCAGATAGGCTCATCTCATCCATAACAATAAAAACAAATTATTTTTGCACATTTGGACATAGATATCTGTTACTGACACTCAGAAAGAGTGAAAACACGTGGTGGGTTACTTCATTACCGTTTGCTGTCTGACTAACAGGTCAGTGTGTTCTCTGACAGTTCACACACTTACTTACATACCAGCACCGCTTTTTAAAGCTGCTGTTTAATTTTTTCAAATGCAACCACACGTTGAGGTCTCACTTCCCTGGTGACTGTCCAAAATCTCTTTCTATCTCCATAAAACCAAAAGACACAAAATCAATAGCTTTGTCTTTTCCAGGTAACTTTACAGTTCACTGTTTCCCAGCCATATAAAGAGTTCTGTTTTTAAGCATTCTCTGTTGAGGTCTTCATGATGATATTTGATCCTGGATCTTTCCAAGTCCTCATCTCAGCAGTAAACTAACACCAATTTAGTTTTTACTAAGATGCACTACATGATTAAATATTTGTCACTTAAGTATCTGTAAAGCAATTGGCATGTGCAATTTGAGCATTTTCTTGAAAAGGCTTATTAACATCTTGCAGCTAGCTTTCCCAATAGCTAATGGTATATGGTTAAAGGGTTTGCCAATTGGGCAATTTCTGAGTTTTAAGGACTTGATCTTCCATTGCTGTGGACCCTGGGTTGTCGTTGGTATCTACGCACAATGTAGACGACACTAATGAATTAGGACGGGCTTTTTTTTTCACCTTCTGGAGTCATTTGTCAATGAAAATTCAAGGGGCAAGACAGGGATACACATAACAGGATGCCATCACGGAGCTATTTTTTGAGCTGCTGGTAAAGGCTGAAATCAAAGCTTCAATTTGTCTTGGGATATTACAGTCTCCAGTGTAACACCTAAGAGATATAAACTTTAAAAATTGATTAGCCTCAAAAAGAATCTACCATTCTTCACCATTGCTCTTTAAAACTAATGAATAGAGAGAACACCCTGAATCTTAATGCCTCTAATGGCACCAGAATGAAATCTGTTGTGGTCTGCAGAGACATATTCTGCTAGAAGAGAAAACAAGAGCATGGAGATTGTGGTAGAAGGGATTGATCACATAGTTTTGCTCCCTCCCTCCTTACACAAAATCCTGCCATACATATCCTGCATATATTCCACTTCATAAACAAGATATATTCCACTTCATAAACAAGATTCAGCCACATCCTCAGTAAATGCTCTGTTATTTTTCCTCTTTTGTTTGGGTCCATAGTACATTCTGGGCAGGATTTCACAAGTATGCAGTGTTCTGTGTTCTGTAAGCATCGTACTCTAATGACGCTGGGGGATGCCTAACTTTAACTGCAACAAAGTTTTTGAAAAATCTCACATTTTATAAACATATGTGGCATACAATGAATATGCAAGTATGAAAGGCTTCCAGATAAGTCACGCTGAAGGTCCATCACCAGGTCTTACATGCAGCATCAGCTGAAATTTGTTTGTTGGGTTTTTAAAATAATTTTTCCTTGATGTTCAGAACATTTGATGAAATGTGTGGACACTAGCTCCATATTCTACATATTACGATGATAAATAGTTTCTAGTGCAGTTACACAATACTGTAATACTGTCTCATGTGAAGAAACTGTGAAGCAAAATTACAGCTCTTAAGTGTTAGACAAAACGTATACATTCTTTTAACCATTAAGGCTTACATTATGCCCCGGACTTCCAGAGAAATTGAGTCTGAAACCTACTGAAATTCACGACAACACAAGGTACAAAAGCACTGGAGAACTGGATCTTGTTAAACCTTATAACATTGCTCAACGAAGCAATAATAGTTAATTTTATTGTTACATTTTATAGACAGATGAACTGAAGCACATGGCGTTTACTAATTTTCCTGAGATGACATGTTCAGGCACAGGAGAGTCTGGAACAAAACTCCTGACTGACCCAGAATCACTGAATAATCCTTTTGGCCTTGATAGAAGACAGTTGGCAGAAATTCTTCAAGATTTGAATACCTACCTCCCTTCGGCATCTTTGAAAGGTCATACTTAAATATAGATATACACACTTAAATAAACACCACTTGCTTTTTGCTCTTGCCTACAAAGCTATCCCCATACGATAATCTTTCAATTGTCTATCATGGGAAAAAAGCATAAGAGCGCATAGTTACGGACCCTAGGAAAAATTCTAAATGTTGCAACATAAACGTAAGAAAGTCCCCTCCGTGCTTCAGTTTGTCCGTTTACCAGATTAAACCTTTATTCTAACTGACATCAGTTTTACAGAAGAAAGAGTCATCCATCATGGGTCTAAAGTTCTGTTGCCTTGAACCTTCAGTTTCATCTACATTTGCATACAAAATGAGGATAAGATACTAGTAAAATCAAAGGATAATAATGTGCATTCATTTTACAAAGATGTAAATGGCAACACAGGGAGCAAACCAGAGGCCTTAAAACTGGAGGAAGAATGCACAGAACTTCAAGCACTAACAAA